TTTTATAATTTCATACTGTTTTGACCCCAGTTCGGGGGTCAACCACTTGCCTAGCGTTAGGATTTCAACAGGCGCCACCACCCCGTGTCAGAGCGGACCCGGGAACAGCAGCAACGAAGAAGTGATTCCACGCTCCTCAAAACCTCCTGATCAGAATCGTCTTACCCATAACGCGGATGTAGTTTATCGTCTTACCCAGAACAAGGTGGTGATTGGATAAAAACGGTTGATATGTCTTTGAGCTGGCACTCGTAAGGAGATCATACAATGATTGACTTAAGGATTATGAATCAACAGATCGGGTTAAAAATAGGAAAAGCGTGTAATTATCACGTGTATTGCTAGTTTATATTTCTTTGGGAATTGAAAGTGAAAGTGAAAGTGTCGTCTGATTTGCTCACAGTATTATTTACGATTTCCTCATGGTAGTTTTAATGAAATTCTATAGCTCTATACTAAACATTAAATCTGTTACGAAAAAAGAACTAAACAAAATGAACACAAAACGATCAGCTTTAAAAAAAAGCACTCGTAACTGGAAAAACCGAATGAAAAAAGAATGTTAACAACATATACTTTTTCACACCCAACCAAGTTCTGTGGAATCAGAATCAACGTTGAGTTTAAGCAAGCGAATGAGTCAATTGGAGTAAAGTGTCATGCAGATTTAAATTTTTCCCACTTGTGACGAATGCAGCTATCGATTTTTCTGCATGCTAGTTAACATTCGTGTCAGTCAGCTGTTGGCTCTCACGCTGGCCAATAGAATCTTCCTACCTATTCGTGGCAGCCAGCTATTGGCTCTCACTCTGGCCAGTAGAAAATAGCTGCAAACTACATGAAAACTGCCGTAGAAGCATGAAAAAATCGATTATTTCCACTATCGATGTGAGTTGGGAAATGCAAAGTCGGTCTTGGCCTTCCCGCTAACTTGGAGCATGTGCATGTAAATTTTGGTGCAAATCCGTCGAAAATTGCGACCGTGCATTCGTTACACACACACACACACACACACACACACACACACACACACACACACACACACACACACACACACATCCTGCCTTTTATAGATAGAGATAACAATGCTATAGCGCCTCCATACTCTTAAATATTCGCTGTTATTTATTACATCTTGAAATCGATAAATAATTTGGGCCATGCTATTACTTATCTATGTTAATTTTATATTTTGCCTTTGTAAGATTTTAGTAGTAGACTATAGCTATCCTAACTCATAACGTAAAATATCGTATCGCTATAACTAATTACAAACATAAATAAACATGTGCTCCATTTCAAATGATCTCCTTAGAAATATGGTATATTTAGCCGGTAAGTACTTATCCAAACTCGTTTGTTTAAAAGGAAACGACCAAATTTTTCTGTTTAATTTTGATAGTATTTTTCCAATTTTCGAACAAGGGCGAGTGTATCGTGATCCAAATTGTGGATAAACAGTCTGAAGTTCAGATCTTTTGTTCAAGTATACTGGAACCGTCTCAATCATTTTCAAGAACCAATGTGGTGTCTGTGTAGTAGACAGAATGACCTTCTTTACATCCTGATATTCTTGGGAAGGCGGAAGTTTAAAACAGTTTACGGTGACGTCATATGTAATGTTTATAGGGAGTGAGGCTTCACCAAAAGAATGCGATTATATATATATATATATATATATATATATATGGTGGGGATAATTGCCTGGCTAATGAAATTTGAGAAATAAAAAGACAGGAAAATGATAACAATATTGGCAATAAGATTGATGATATGTATTATATATGTTAAGCGCGAGGGATAGCAAAAAAAAGAGATGTCCTCCGCGTAGAGAGTTGGTTTCCTCGTCGCCACTTGTTATACTCTGGTGAACGATTTTTTCTTCCACCGAATGAATTCTAATCTTCGTCGCCACTTGTTATACAGTGCCGTAGGAAATTTTTTTTTCTTCCACCGATTGAATTCGAATCTTCGTCGCCACTTGTTATGGTCCGATTCCTTGTACCACGGTGATAGTCCAAGGTAGAACCAATGAAGAAGAACTCGAACACAGGTATGGAATAACACAGATATATTACAAACAGGAATATATACAGAGAAGTAGAAGTGTTAGTACGAACAATCAGGTTTAGTAGGGAGAACAATGTAGACTTGACCAGTATCACTATTCCAATGTCTTGCAGTAATTGTCTGAACGCGACAGACTGCCTCTGACTCGACTCTTGACTCGACTTGAACTACTGACTCGACTTGAACTACTGAGGATATTCAGTCACCCCCCCCACTGGGGCAGCATGTGTCACAAGGTCGGTTATTTATTGTGGGTCGACCCAAAAATATGCCGATTGTACCCGTATAAACGGGTTCAGGGTTGGTTTACCTCCCTGAAAGAGACTCCGCCCTTCGGCGTAGCCTCGTTCGGGTTCCTCCCCGCCCGAAATAAGAGAGTTCAACCGATCGGTCGTTCAAGACTTGAGCGACTGACGATATTCAGTCCCCCCCACTGGGGTAACATGTGACACAGGGTCGGTTATTTATTGTGGGTTCTCCGAGCCCGTGGGCTCGGCCCAAAATATGCCCATTGAGCCGGTAGCCTCGTTCAGGTTCCTCTCCGCCCGAAGGCAGAGAGTTCAACCGAATAGTCGCTCAGGACTTGAACGACTGACGATATTCAGTCACCACCCACCCACGAGGGTGTCATGTGGCACAAGGCCTTTTTAACGTGGGCATTCCGAGCCCGTGGGCTCGGCCAAAAATATGCCCATTGAACCCGTATAAACGGGTTCAGGGCCGGTTTACCTCCCCAAAGGAGACTCCGCCCTTCGGCGTAGCCTCCTTCGGGTTCCTCCCGTCCGTAAGAAGAGAGTTTAACCGAACAGTCGCTCAGAAAGTACTGACTGGACTTGAGCGACTGAACCCTTGCCTACTCCTGAGGCGCAGTATTTATTAAGTATGGAATATTCCATTATTATTATTATGGGTAAGATCCCATAACAATATATGATTAAATTCATCCACGAAGAGAAAGAATTTAAAGTCGCTATTTTCGGACACCTCTGTGTCCTATTTCAACGAGACGAGGAATAAACAAAGACGTGGGAATGTTGTTGGTGTTGGTTAGAGAGTTCTCTGAATAAAACCAAATCCATTATTAACCCTTATGATTTTATTTTGAAAATATATTTTAACTAATTTACTATTGGAGCAGCATATATATTTAGCATTGGTGTGTCTTAGCTAAGGTTACATGATGGACTTCAACACTTTCTAAGCTGGTTTGAATTAAGTTTCCCTTCTAGATTGGTTGTCACCAAGGATGTAAGTCCGTGTTGGTTTCACTGTTTATCTATAACTACATCACATATCTATAACATATATGAATGTGAGTGTGCGGATGTGTATGCGTGTGTGTGTTTATGTGTCTCTGTGTATAACGTTTTCCGCACAGATACATTTACTGATTGAATTGTGTACCTATAACAAAGATCATTGATTTTGGACATTTCCTGATATTCCAACAAATATGTGTCATTCTTAAGAGATAGATAGATAGATAGATAGATAGATAGATAGATAGATAGATAGATAGATAAAAAGCAACTGATAGATAGATAGATAGATAGATAGATAGATAGATAAAAAGCAACAGATAGATAGATAGATAGATAGATAGATAGATAGATATGAATTGTCTATAACAGATAAATTTGAATAGGCCTATAACAACGATTATTGATTTTGGACATTTCCTGATATTCGGACAAATATGTGCCATTCTTAAGAGATAGATAGATAGATAGATAGATAGATAGATAGATAGATAGATAGATAAAAAGCAACTGATAGATAGATCGATAGATAGATAAAAAGCAACTGATAGATAGATAGATAGATAGATAGATAGATAGATAGATAGATAGATATGAATTGTCTATAACAGATAGATTTGAATAAACCTATAACAACGATCATTGATTTTGGACATTTCCTGATATTCGGACAAATATGTGCCATTCTTAAGAGATAGATAGATAGATAGATAGATGGATAAAAAGCAACTGATAGATAGATAGATAGTTAGATAGATAGGAATTGTCTATAACAGATAGATTTGAATAGGCCTATAACAACGATCATTGATTTTGGACATTTCCTGATATTCCGACAAATATGTGCCATTCTTAAGAGATAGATAGATAGATAGATAGATAGATAGATAAAAAGCAACTGATAGATAGATAGATAGACAGATAGATAGATAGATAGATAGATATGAATTGTCTATAACAGATAAATTTGAATAGGCCTATAACAACGATTATTGATTTTGGACATTTCCTGATATTCCGACAAATATGTGCCATTCTTAAGAGATAGATAGATAGATAGATAGATAGATAGATAGATAGATAGATAGGAATTGTCTATAACAGATAGATTTGAATAGGCCTATAACAACGATCATTGATTTTGGACATTTCCTGATATTCCGACAAATATGTGCCATTCTTAAGAGATAGATAGATAGATAGATAGATAGATAGATAGATAGATAGATATGAATTGTCTATAACAGATAGATTTGAATAAACCTATAACAACGATCATTGATTTTGGACATTTCCTGATATTCGGACAAATATGTGCCATTCTTAAGAGATAGATAGATAGATAGATAGATAGATAGATAAAAAGCAACTGATAGATAGATAGATAGATAGATAGATAGATAGATAGATAGATAGATAGGAATTGTCTATAACAGATAGATTTGAATAGGCCTATAACAACGATCATTGATTTTGGACATTTCCTGATATTCCGACAAATATGTGCCATTCTTAAGAGATAGATAGATAGATAGATAGATAGATAGATAGATAGATAGATAGATAGATAGATAGATAGGAATTGTCTATAACAGATAGATTTGAATAGGCCTATAACAACGATCATTGATTTTGGACATTTCCTGATATTCCGACAAATATGTGCCATTCTTAAGAGATAGATAGATAGATAGATAGATAGATAGATAGCAATTGTCTATAACAGATAGATTTGAATAGGCCTATAACAACGATCATTGATTTTGGACATTTCCTGATATTCCGACAAATATGTGCCATTCTTAAGAGATAGATAGATAGATAGATAGATAGATAGATAGATAGATAGATAGATAGATAGATAGATAGGAATTGTCTATAACAGATAGATTTGAATAGGCCTATAACAACGATCATTGATTTTGGACATTTCCTGATATTCCGACAAATATGTGCCATTCTTAAGAGATAGATAGATAGATAGATAGATAGATAGATAGATAGATAGGAATTGTCTATAACAGATAGATTTGAATAGGCCTATAACAACGATCATTGATTTTGGACATTTCCTGATATTCCGACAAATATGTGCCATTCTTAAGAGATAGATAGATAGATAGATAGATAGATAGGAATTGTCTATAACAGATAGATTTGAATAGGCCTATAACAACGATCATTGATTTTGGACATTTCCTGATATTCCGACAAATATGTACCATTCTTAAGAGTCAGATCTTTTTTTAAAAGAAGAAAACAACGAATTTGAAAAAAAAAAAAACACTCTTTCTACAAATTGATTGATTCAGAAGAATCTTTTTTTTTCTTTTGAATTCAGAACATCAGAATTGAAGTAATTTTTACGGGCACCCTTTAAACTTCCGCCGATTTTCATTAAAAAATTCTCCTTTTGATTCGTAGAATTCTTCATCAAATTTGTGGATATCTTGTTTTTATTCTTTGTCTAGACAAGAAATGTTGTATGCAGCGAAACACGATAGTTTTAGGCTGATTACAATGTGGCGCATGTGAAGCTATTTTTCATCTCAGTTTCATGATCGTATCAAAAGATGCGTCACATTTGCAAGACAACGATGAATGGAGTCATTCAACAAAACAACCAGTCGATTTCCTTCATCAGGAAAACGTAATTCCTTTTCCAATGCTTTAATCAAACTATCAAATGGCCCACTGTACAATGTTACTGTGGGCAATTGTCGTGTTAAGTTTCAAACAATTCATCATAAAGAATTCGAATTCCACCAAATACAGACGAAATCTTGTTTTTCAGAAGATTCCATTTAGATTAAAATGGTCAGGGGAGATCAGGACCTAATCTGGTTTTAAATTTCGATACAAATTCCTAGTTTTTATCGACAATTGATTATCTTATTTTCAAACGTCGCCTTTTTCTTGGTAAAGAAAAGGAAGACAGGTGTTTCAATTTTTAAAGGCTAATCCAGCTACATTTCCCGATATGCATTCGACGTCTTTTCATTAGGTACATATTTTCATTCGGTACATATTTTCGTAACTTACATTAGATTGAGATTACAATATGTGCGATTAGGATAGATAGATAGATAGATAGATAGATAGATAGATAGATATGAACAGACTGAAATAGATAGATAGATAGATAGATAGATAGATAGATAGATAGATAGATAGATAGATAGATAGATAAGAATAGACAATCCCAGATAAATATGAACAGACAATAACAGATAGATATAAATAGACTATCACAGATAGATAGATAGATAGATAGATAGATAGATAGATAGATAGATATTAGCAAATTGAAAGTGATATGAACAGAAACGACATAGTTCCGAACCATCGGACACTAATAGATTTGAACAAATGTTGATTGCAAGTTATTACTTACATTTACATATGGTATCCTAGTACAACCTCATACGGACAATGCGGTATAAATCAACAGAACATAAGACTATTGCCCGCAAGGGTGACCACTCTTCAATGTGATGAGTGCTCGATGTAAAGTAATCGATTGCGAGATAATATGAATATACTACCGTTATCAGTCTGACAGGAGTCACGATATCAACCAACTTTTAAAATAATAGAAAATCATATTTATTTCCAAAATCATTCAGACTTGTGTCCTCATCTTCGATCATCATGGACAAAAATGTTAGGCGCCAAATTTATTTATTTCCTTTTCAAAAAGATTCAATCTCTTTCTTTCTTTCTTTCTTTCTTTCTTTCTTTCTTTCTCTCTGTCTGCCTGTCTCTCTCTCTCTCTATCAGTCTCACTATATTTAGATGAATGTTATGCGGCCATATGAATTCAAGCCTCTCCTACAGCAAACAAATACCCACCGAACACAATAGTTAACAACTATCCACACGCACACACAAATACACATGTCTACATACACATACACACTTGACTAGCTTTATGTTTCTACCAATAAACATCTTGTCTATTGAACTTTAAAAATTTGTTATCCCAAAACGCATAGAAATTATAATCACTATTTCAAAGACAAGATTTGGTCAGCAAATACGTACTTGCGAATGAATGGTAGGAACTGATCTGCAGAAGGCAGGGGAATATATATATATATATATATATATATATATATATATATATATATATATATATATATATATATATATAAAAATGACAATAGGAAAACTGTAGTAACTTCTGACACGTTTCGTCCAATGTATATATATTTCAAAGGGAGATAATCTTAACATATTTTAATGGAAGTTTTTTATTGTTATCAGTGCGTCGGATATTTTTCACTTGCATTCCCTGTATAAGAACAAATAAAGAAAACATTTCGATAGTTTTATTTATGCAGATGTACTACTCTTTTATTCATGGATTAAAATTCATTCAGCAGAAAGGTCTGTTTGACAAACAATCGTTCCTGCTCACACACACACACACACTATATATATATATATATATATATATATATATCCATGATTGTTTTCTTTTGCATTTGTAGATTTTTATCATTGTATTCTATTTTCTCTCATTGCACGATTTTTGGTTTACTTGGTTATCGAACAAATACAGACGTGCACTCACACACCGATCGTCAAAAAGCCATTTTGTTGCGATCAAAATAGGTAACGATGCCTTCTTCCACTTTAACATCTATAAAATCCATTTTCCTTCATCCTGTCAGAAAATTTTCATTAAATACAGAAAAGAAAAGCTAAAAATTCCAGGATTATAAGTGTCCTTTTTTTGATACCATCTGGGCAAAATGGTCGCCCATTGCTATCTACTCGATTGCTTCCGTGGCGTTCTTCCTTCCTTGATCGTTTTTACACCAATCTGCATCCAGTCGTCTTTTTTTTTATCGAATCCATTCGCCGGGCAAAATGTTGTCTGCTTTTTCTGATTCCATTTCTTAGCATTAACACTACTTTCTCTCTTTCTCCTTTATCTCTTACACTTGGCTCTCTGTTTCTCTTTCTCTCCCCCACTCTGTAGCTCACTTTCGCTTTTAGAATGTGTCCGCGATAAAAAGAGCTGCATATCATGCCTATAGTCGTGTTGAATCCCATCCAACTGTTACGTCGAAAACGAGGCTTGCACCAAACATTTTCTGAGCGTTCATTTTTTATTTGTCTTCTATATTTTATTTGCTATTTCTTTTTCAATTTGTCTTTTATTTTGAATAGCTTTTTCTTCGTTCTTTTTTTTTTTTTATTGATTTACATTTTCTTTGGGTTACATGTTACAAAATTCTTCCATTATCCTACCCTGAGCACAAAAATGAAGATTTGGATGCATTCCAAGAACGGTGTACAAAGCTTCCTGAGGTTATTTCTTAGCTTATCAGAATCTCCCAACCTTTTACTGTTTCTTGGATTTTATTTACATTATTATTATTTTTTTTTTTTTTGAATACAAAGTTACTTTTAGGAAATAGCGAGATCCTTACTTTTATTTCTGGAGAGCGTCTTATGGTTTTGTCATTGTTCTTCGTCTGCAAGCAGCTACAGGGCAGCGTTTCTCTCAAACACAAGACCTTTTTTCCATCAGTCATAGAAAAATGTTGCTTGTTATGTTTCCATCAGGTTTCTTTTTTGTTGTTGTTTTTCGTTGTTGTTGTTGTTTTTTGGGGGTTTTTTTTGTCAGTAAATCTGCTTTGCTGCAAGTTGAAAAATACGCAATATTCAAAAAATGAATGGCATCTTTCATTCCAATAAAACCTAAAGACAACCAATATGTGACACTTATTAACTGAAAAATAGAACTTATGTAACAATATTGAGAAGGGGCGCTTACCCAACTACGGAAAAGATTATTTTACAAGTAAGGACTTCCTGCTACGAATACCATTGATGAAGTATATAAGTGATGAGGAATTTTCAAGGACAATGGAATCAAAAAAGAATACTTTTTACTAAGAATCAGAAAGAGACAGTTGAAATTTCTGGAATATATAATGAAGAAAGAGGGCTTGGAGAATTTGACACTCACAAGGACATACTGAAAACAAGATCCAGTTAACAAGTTTGTGTAAATGGTTGGGAGAATAGAGACAGGGAGGGATGAGGAGGAGGCAAATTCAAATTAGAGCTACAAAGAATTGGAAGTTGTGGAGAGTCATGCTCCCCGACGTTCTCAAGTGAGAGGACACATTAAAGAAATGAATAATGGAAAATTTGTAAACTCCAGGCATTTTCAAACCTTTCAGCAAAAACGCAATGAAAAGAACGAATTGTGGATTTTCGTGAATAAATTTGAAGATTCCCTGCTTGCGAAATTTGTATAATCAAAACCAAAAAGGAATTGAGTCTCATAAAAAAAATGGAGGAAGAATATATACATATATATATATATATATATATATATATATATATATGAATGAAAAAATATTGTCTTAAGGTGTGCAATATTTATGGAATAAAGTGCTCCAGTTGCCTGACGATTGCGTCTAGCATGAAACAGACTGTCGCTTCAAAGTACTGAATTCAATATTCACTTTTATATTTACACACGCTCTCTCTCTCTCTCTCTCTCTCTCCCTCTGATATTGAGCACTTTATCCCATAAATGTAGCACACCTTAAGACTATATTTCTTCATATATATATATATATATATATATATATATATATATATATATTTTATATATATATTTTATATATATATATATATATATATATATATATATGTGTGTGTGTGTGTGAAAAGTGTATATAAATATAAATAAATATATATATGTATAATTATTTATATATTATATGCGCGGTACTTATTAGAAAGCGCTCAATCTCAGAGATAGAGCTAACATATTTGGTTGGATAGATGTGAGTTTGTGACCCTGGGTTTCACGCTTTAGCGATCGTCAGACAAACTGATTAATGTTTTAAAAAAAATGAGTTTATGTAGATTGCGTGTATAACACCACCCGTATACATAGATGTGTCATAGCCGAAACTGTCTACATATGTTTATATATGTATGAATCCCGACGGACGAACAAGTATGTATATGTGTCTGCATACATCGATGTTTGCGTTAGTACGATGAATGACAAAACGACGAAATTTCCCCCACCACTTCCACAATAATACCAATACACGCAATCTACATAAACCCAAATTTTTAAAACATTAATCAGTTTGTCTGACGATCGCTAAAGCGTGAAACCCAAACAAACTCACATCTATCCACCAAAATATATATATATATATATATATATATATATATATGATTTAAGTAGTAAATATTTTACATATATTGCTCAATATTAAAAAATATTTAAAATAGAGTCTTAATATTATATTAAAAAAAGAATACTTTTAAGTAAATTAGAGTTAAAACTGATATTTAAAAGGTAAGTATTCTTTATATCGCTGGCTGATTGTAATTATAATTATCTATCTATCTATCTATCTATCTATCTATATATATATATATATATATATATATATAATTATTTTATAAAAAAAATTTATAACATAAGTATGTTATAAAATCACTACAAAAATAGCCATTTTGTTTCAACACACTCTGTGTCTTATCAAGTGATGGTGTTGAAAAGAAAATAAATGGTTTTAAAAGTTTCAGATTAATTAACGATCCTACACTAGGGGGGAGCATTGTTACAAAAAGCTAGAATAACCAATCAAAAACGAAGTACAGAAAGATTCAAAAGCTTGACAACAAAATCCTGCTATTATAGCTATTTAGATCTTTAAATACGTGTAATATTAAAAATAATTTTACTAACTAATAATTATAAATTTATATGATAAAATTTAATATTAAAATTAAAAACTGGCAATTTTAAAAACCAAATTTAATCACTATTAAGTTTAAAAACTACAAAATTATTGAGAAAAAAAAAAATATATATGTTTATTCAATTCATTTCTTCATTGAAATTACGTCTGACAAGACAAGACGCTTTACAATTCGTCCGGTCATCTGATAATACATGTATATATATTTTTTCTTTTCCGTTTGTATTTTAAAGTTTGTGAATATGGTCTTAAACTCACGCGTGACACAACAAAAACACAATCAGATTATAATACATAAGCATCCAGACATAATTAGATACATACACACACACACACACAAACACACACACAAAAACATACACACACTAAAAAAAAAAAAAAAAAAAAAAAGAGGTAGGGGGAATACATGAACAACTCCACAGCCCTTTACGAAAAAAGGAGACGTGGAAACTAACACTTAGACACACACACAGTTAAATGTGAATACACTCTACATACACATAGACACCGATATATACACAAACATACATCCACAATGGCATAGACATTGAGAAATCACAACCAGTATATATATATATATATATATGAAGAA